GAGGACACAGACTGAGCTGCTGCGGAGAAAGTCAATTATCCAATTTGTTCTAAACATGTGACAAGCTTTATATTAAGGCCTTTAAAAACTGGTAAGACAGTTTATAGTTTCGTTTCGCATATTAGTTTAAGAGGCTCGGCCCGTCATTGCTCTGACAGAAAGGCTGCATGTGCCGTTGACAGAGACACGGGCTACTCGCGCTGTTTAATGTTTTTGATATGTGCTGTCTTCCTGAATGCATAACTTACATTTCACAGGTATATTCTCCATCTGTAAATGTTAGAAAGCCATGGAAATATTTCCATTTTTCTGTCAGAAGTGCATGAGCCTTCTGCTTTGCGATTCTCCCCTAAACGTCACACAGACTTCATTTAGAACGAGCGCCAAACAGACAGAGCTCAATGAAATAGGAGCACAATAATTCTGACTAAAATATACATTTTGTTAAAATATTTGTAGTTGGATAATAAATGTGACGTGTAGAATTTTAAACCTACAAGTAAATCTATTTTTATGATAGCACTGACTGTAAAGTGACTGTAATGGGGTAATCAAAATAGCCTAACACAACTCTGTGCTTTAGTTCTCATTTATTTTCATTTTTAGTTTAGTGAATTTAACTTGCGCTTTAAAAGCCTTATTTTTGTTTTTAGATTGCAATGTTACAATGTTAGAAAGAAATGTGATTTTAACCCTTTTTTGCACATAATATAAAGGCTTACATGGTTAGATTCACTTTATTTGTTTTCATAGCCTTGTATTGTTTTGTTGGACAACATTGGGTGGTAAGTGAAATACATATATATTAAATACAGATTTTTTTTAAATCCAAATACAAAAAAACGAAAATACAGAGATATATACAGTATATCGCAAATCGGCCAAAAAATACAGAGATATTAATTTTTGCCCATATCGCCCAGCCCTAGGTATCTGGTAGGCTTTGGTGGTACGGATGCAAGTCTTGGCAGGTTCCTTTAACCCGTCGCTGACCATTTATTAACTGGTAACCAGTGGTGGAAAGAGTACTGAAAAAATATACTCAAGTAAAAGTACCATTACCTTCCAAAAAAGCATGTCTCTTTGCTGAGCCGCGGCGGTCTCGGTGAATCAGCAGCATCCACAACTGAATGGAACAAAGTGTTGAACTTGAAAATTGTTTATGCGCGAGTGCACTTGCTAAATGACGGCGGATTGTATAAAATGGATAAAAAAAATTTAAATAATAAAAAAAAACGTTTATTAACGAGCTGCAGTTTTATTACATCACGCGCTGGCACAGATGCAGTATATTAAT